CTGTCACCACTTCAGGGTGCTCTTCCGCCTCGCCTCTCGTCATCTGAAAGRCTCTCCCTTTTGCATTAGACTCTGTTTGTCTTGTCCCTCCCCGTCCACTTGGACTAACACGATTATCCATTTGCCCACGACCTGTTGGCACATACCCAGATCCTCGACCCCCAGAATATCCAGATYSYCGACCYCCAGSAAAACCAAACCCTCGACTCTTTGCTTGCGGACAATCAGCACTTATATGTTGAGATGAATTACAAGTAAAACATCTCTGCGTCATCCGACAATCTCGAGCTATATGTCCAGTTCCTGACATTTAAAGCATACTCGAGATTCTGTATTGCAATTTCCCTGATGTATTTTATGACATCGAATACACGCCTTATCATTAAACCCTGAGACTGGTCGATTCACATTTTCCATAAACCTCGGTCTACGGAAATCACTTACTGTAGTTTCCCCTTTTCTTTTCTCTCCAACCCTTTCTTGCGGTTGCCGGTTAATATCTTGTTCCAATATTTCAGCAGCATCAACTGCCGCTTGAAATGTTGTCGGATTCCTGGATATCACATACTTTCGAAGATTTGCCTCCAATCCCCAGATATACTTTCTTACCTTACTGTTTTCAGATATAATATAGGCTTCAACAAACCTAGATTGTTCCATGAAAACTTCTGTATACTGGCGGACTGACATGTTTTCTTGCTCAAGACGAAGGAAATCATCTTCCAACTTTCTTACTGCAGCTTCAGGACAATACTGCATTTTTTATTTTAACCACAAATTCTTCCCACAACATGGTTTTCAGAATGTTCGGATCTGAACTGGRCAGGACTTCCCACCAGTACAAAGCACTTGATCTCAAACGAGATACAGCAAACATAACTTTGTCTTCTTCTGCACTTTTACTGATTTGCAGACTCAGCTCTATCTCCTTAAGCCAACACATAGCTTTAACAGGATCACGCTCACCAGAAAACTTAGGAGGTTTACAAGCAAGAAACATCTTGATATCTCCTCTCTTTTGCACTGAGGACGAAGTGAGGGGTAAAGATATACCAGTTACCGGTGTACTAACTCCGGCTTCCTCCTGATCAGAATTTCTTACCACATTTGGATTAGTTTGGTTTGTACGCCTTAACAAATTTACCAAACTTTCCTGAAACTTTCCCAGCTCTGCTGCCAACATATCTCGAGTAATATACTCGGGGTCAGAAACATTATGTCCACCCCTTGCTCTTCCTCCACCACGTCCAAACATTGAACTTTCTTGGGCCGAAAATTCCTGTTCCCCACGAGTTTCTTGTCTGATACTTCTACCTCTTCCTCGTCCCCTGCTACGACTTCGTGTTTCTATTACATTTTCTGGATCCTATCCGTACATTACATTTCTTCTTCCTCGACCTCTTCCATAACCAGTAGAGGTCCTTTCCGATTGATTGGGATTATCTGTCATTTCTCAGTATGTAACCTTTTCTGTCACATTTAAACACATGATTATTCTCATAATCACAACATAATAACACATTTATCCTCATGTCTACTCATAACTCAGATTATATCAGTCATATATAATCTATCTTTCTCATAATAGGTTTAGCTATAACATATTCTCATGTTTATAGACCCAGTGAAACCTATTATCATAACTTTCCAC